AGTCAATTTTTCTATAAGTTTAGGATTTTATAATTTTTTGCATTCTGAACAACTTATTCCTATGGCGGAAATTGCTAGATATGGAGCTGGTTTTAAGATACCAAAAATTAAAACCCTCAAAAACGGTTACTACCAGAATTTTAGATTGTGCACTTTTTTACAATTTGTATATTAATATTTTGATTTATAAACTTTTTTCTTTAACAATATGTATACTTATGGTTTAGAATGTAGTGAACATGAATCCGATGTCAAAAATATTTTTTGATAGCATCCAGGTCTCAAAAAAGCTGTCAAACTTTTAACAACGAGAGTTTATAAGGGTTTTTACACCTATTTACGCAAAAATGGTTGTTTTTCGAAACATTGAGTCCAATTGAAAAATCAATTTGTAATTTAAAAACTTTAACCACTGACAACTTCCAAAATTTTATATACTGTTATTTCATTTGATCTCAATGTTTTAAAAATTAATTATTTTTGAGTAAAATAATGTAAAAGCTTTCAAATTTTTCATTTATACTTATAATGTTTCGAAAAACAACCATTTTTGCGTAAATAGGTGTAAAAACCCTTATAAACTCTCGTTGATAAAAGTTTGACAGCTTTTTGAGACCTGGATGCTATGAAAAATTATTTTTGACATCGGATTCGTGTTCAGCACATTCTAAACCATAAGTATACATATTGTCAAAGAAAAAAATTCATAAATAAAAATATTAACATACAAATTGTAAAAAAGTGGACTAAACCTGTGGTAAACCCCATTTAAACTATATACCTTCGGTGGCACGGGTTAATATTCATTAATTTAGCTGCCCTTGTGCACAGGTCATTTTTTTGACATTTTAAAGTGAATTCCGGCCGGCGACCTAAGAAATTCCAAATTTCGAAAAATAAGGGCCACCCTATTTTACAAGAACATGTACATTTTCTTCTATGCGAATATTCAGTATATTTACTTGTTCAAAATCTTGTCCATATCTAGCAATTTGTCAAAGGAAAAAGTTGTTCAGAATGAAAAAAACTGTAAAATCCTAAAGTTACAGAAAAATCGACTGAGAGCCAAAACTAATGAAAATCCTGCGGGGTCCTTTAATTTTTTAAATAGTTTTTAATAATCAAAAATAACATATGCTCAAAAATGTGACGTAATTTTTAAAGATAAAATGATTTCTATTCAATGTGCATTTACGGGCTAATATTAACACATATAAGTATTATAAATAATTCTCATTCAATGCAATTTGGTATAATCTGAAAACCATTTTTAGAAAAAAAGTTTAAATATTTAATCCATTATAAAAACTTTTATATAATAAATAATTTTGAAATTTCTTAAAGGTTAATACCTTTAAATTCAGACAAATGTTATATAATAATTATATTTCTGATAAAAATGTAATGTTTTCTTTAGTGTTAAAACTCAAATAGCCGAACATCGTTGCAACAATATTATATTATCATTAAAATGACAATATTGCAAATATTGCACGGCAATATTACAGAATAATGATTATCTCCGCTTATCGGAAATATTGTGTGCCCAAAAGATCAGTTTTTTTTCAAATTCAAACTCCCCATTACATTTTAGAGTAAAAATAATTTATAGAAAAAAGAAAGTGTATAAAATTCAGAGTAATTTTAAAAAAACGAACCCTGTAGCTCAAAAATTGACCGAGATATAGCTTCCGCAAAAAACACATTTTTTTCGTGATTTTAGCCAAAATCCGGTATTTTTCTGTTTTTCCAATATAGCGTTGAAACTAATTATTTTTTGAAAAAATCACCTACAGGAAAGTTAAAGCTGACTAAATTCCTGACAATTTGAAAAAAAGAACAACGTGAAAGCTCTAATATTTTCCGAGATACAGTTTCTCAAAAGGGTCAACTTAGAGAGAAAATCCCCAAAAACAGTTTTTTTCATAAAACAAAGATAAAACGTGGTATAATCGTTTAATGTTTTCTCAACTGAAAACTGTCATATTGGTTCGACATTATGCGCAATATGATCATAATTGGTCAATTAGTTTGTGAATAAAGACAGATATCCCACCTTGCCCGCTATCCCATCTTGCCTCCCTTTTCCCTAAATAGGAAATTATCAGAGCTATTACATTGTTCTTTTTGCAAATTGTCAGGAATTTATTCAGCTTTACCTCTCCTGTTGGTCATTTTTTCAAAACATCGTTAGTTTCAAAGCTATATTTGAAAAACTGAAAAATACCGGATTTTGGCTAAAATCACGAAAAAAATGTGTTTTTTGCGGAAGCTATATCTCGGTCAATTTTTGAACTACAGGGTTCGTTTTTTTAAATTACTTAAAATTTTTTACGCTTTCTTTTTTCTATGAATTAACTATTTTTACGCTAAAATGTAATACAAAAGCGTCAATTTAAAACTGATTTTTTGCACCTATTTTACAAAAAAATTTTAGGCTCCCGTAGGAGTTGGACTCGTCGGGTTCAGAAAAGATTATTTGAATATTAAAATGTCCGCATGTGAGCCAATGTTTAACGCGAAAGTTAACTGAATATGTAAATTACATTTTCGTATATATAACGAAAATGTTCATTTCGTACATTTTCGTTTATAACGAAAATGTAATTCGTACATTTCGTAGTGGAAGGTGGGGTAATGGGAGATTTTAAATTTCAAGTACAAAAAGACTTTGAATTTCGTGGAAATAACTCGGAAAACTTGAACTATCTTCCTGTATGTCATACAAAGACAAACGGTCACATTTCTGACAGATTTGTAGAAACTACAAGGAAAAATTAAGTTTTCGAGCTTTTCTTCTTAAATGGAAAATATTTCTCGAGATCAAAGTGAATAGTTGAAAATTTATTATTTAATTGTTTTGTGATTTTATTAGAGATAAATATGTGTAGATTTAGATACATGAATAAAAATAGAGGTAATAATAAAAATTGTTTATGTTTTTCTTCTTTTTTTCAAATTGTGGCCTGTGAAAATTCTTTGGGGTATATATGGCTTTTCCTATTTATTTGAAAATTGAAAAAGATGCATTTATAAGATTTGATATTGTTGCATATTTAATTGCTAAGAATCCATATTTGTGTTTTATTGTCTAAAATGTGTTATTATTGTATATCTTAATACTAAAGAAGCTGTAGGTCTTTTTTATGTCTTAAATATTTTGTAAAATGTTTATCTGTCGAGAACTATTGACAAAATAAGAAAAATATCTAAAGAAAATATAAATTATATCATTTTATTGGAATTTCAAGGGAGAGCTCTCAATAATAAGAGAAAATGCATTTTTTTAAAAAACATTTTTTCTTGCAAATTTACTTTTTTGTTCTTAATTTCTAATTAATTATAATTAAAGATAAATAACAAAAGGAGTAAAAAATGACCGAAACAATATTTTATTACAAGAATTAGTTGGTTTTTTTTAATCATTTTTCTTAAGGGGCTCCAATTCTCCCATCTTCCCCTTATTTACATATTCGGTCAACTTTCGCGTTAATCATTTTCTCACATGCGGACATATTTTAATATTTAAATAATCTTTTTCTAACCCTAATTCAATACTCCCAACTTAACCTTTAAACATTTAATGAATCTTTAGGGAATTTTCGGTGTTGTGTGGGATATTGGATCCCTCATTTTGAAATTTGTAAAATTGTTGCCAAATTCGTGACCCTCTAATAACAAATTTTAAGTAAATCTGTTTGAATACTATTGATTTGCAATTATCAAGTCCTACATATTGGATCCGTCATTTTGAATTTTGTAAAACTGACTAATCAGCGATCCTAAAAATCACAAGTAACAAATTTTAAGGGAATCTGATGAATTTTTAAAAAAATTATGTCGCTATATTGGATCTGCCATTTTGAAATTTTTAATTCTGACATCAAATTCGCGTACATATGTACGCGGTAAATTTTTTTCAAGATTAGTTTGAAAAACAACTTTAACCAATTTGACTTAATTAATTAAATTATTTTTATTATTAGCATAATAAATATAGTAAAAGTATCTAGAAAACCTCTTACTTTTAAGAGATTACAAAATATGTGAGCTCCAAAAATTTTTGAAAGATAAATGAAACATTTTCCAATACCATTATTAGCTATAAAGAATATTTCTACAAACAATGTCATTATTTTTCAAATAATAAGTACTAAATTAAAAAATGTAGATATATTTTTGATAAGTGAAAATATTTATTTCACTAAAATAATATAATAAAAAAAAGAATCGCACAAAAATTGAAATTCTTTGCACAGATATTTTTTTATTTATGAAATACACTTCCATAATTATGGAAATAGAAAATTTAAAAAGTTATTTCTTGTCTCGGGAAGTAAATGCTCTATTAAAAACTCGAAAATAAAGTTGTTTATATTTAATAACACAATGAGTTTAAATAATGTGTTTTGAAAGGCAACTGCGCTACAAATGTTCTAATAAACATATCCAGTTTTTATATGTATATAGCAGGTATATAGCAGGTATCACGCATAGTTTCACTTAAATATTTAATGTGAAGAATAGTTAAATCTCTTAACTCTCCATGTTAAGGTACACGAAATGTTGAGGAGTTTGGTGCTGTGTGGGTATACGTAAAATTATGATAAATTGAAGAATTTGAAGTATTTTTAAAAAATTAAGGCGAGTCTCTTGAAGTAGCGTGATAAATAGGAAGCATGCGCAGATTCAGAAATTTCGCCTGTTGCATTCAACGTCGTGTTATGTGATTGTCGTCTACACAACACAACCCAGTCTGGGCCCGCCTTATGTACAGAAAACTCATGTACGTAATATGTCAAGTGAGGCGTTGGTCTTGTGAGTGAATATGCCTTATCGTTCACTTATTTTTAAGGTTCTTTAAAGTGGATGTTGTTGATTAAGACATGCAGGAATTTCAAACTCAGTGTGTACAACTGACATGTCAAACAAAAACATTTAATTCATCCGGTGAATGTTGAAAGTGCGCGAGAATTCTGCTTGTGTTTACACTAGTAAGTGTCCATGGTGACGACAGTATTTCATTATAGTATTTGCACAAAATTTATTTCTATATACTTACACATTACATACAGATTTTAATAGTGAAAATGTCAAGAGTAAAACTCAAAAATTTATTAATTCTTATAAATTTTTTGTTTGTAAAATTTACTTAGATAACAAGTCTTAAAAAATTAATTGAAATATATATATATGTATATATATTTATAACGGTCTCTAAAATTGATTTATATCAACGATCGATAATCAATATAATAATATCGTAAAACTTATGAAGCGGAGTTATCAGATCAGTCTTTTTTACCAATTTTTCAAATTATTTTATTCAAATACCGCAACAAGAGTCTTAAAAAATCTACTGTTTTTGTCTGGAAATTATTAGACAAATTTTGTGCGTCTGGGAAAATTAACTAATATGTGTAGTGACTCTACAGAAGATACCCACGTGCAAGGAAACCCACGTGCGATTACATATTACAAGCTATATCAGAAGAATTTTAAAAGGAAATTTATATGGTATATATATGCAAGTAGAATAATAATTTAAGATAGGGGAGACCGAGGAGGAAAGTAACAAAAATCAGTTTTTTTATGCTAGCATTAAAAATATTTGTCGGATAAATTTGTCCAATATATTAAATGAAAGCTTGGACATTCACCTTTTAAATAAAATTTGAATTAAACATTTATAATAAATTGACAGTTCACAGTATAACTTTTACGCAAGCTCTTCATCTGTTACTTTCCTCCTCACCCCCGAGGAGGAAAGTAACAGTATAAAATTATGTAAAATTTTTTAGACTAATGACTATTATTAATTAGAAATATTTTTATTAGGAACACATAAGAGTTTAAGTACACTTTATACTTATTTGGCACATATTTGGGACATATTTAGCACATATTTCGAACATTTTATGAATTTAGCTCATTTTTTTTCTTAAACGTATTTTATGCTTACCTAGATCACAGGTTTTTCTTAAATAAATCTCTGTTATTCGTAAAATTAAATACGATTTGCTTCAATCATTAGTTAAAACATGGACAATATCGACAACAGGAGAAAAGTAGCGTGTTACTTTCCTCCTCGGTCGCTTTTTTCTTGTATGTCAACAAAAAAGTTAAAACTACACAAATGTTAAATTGTTTGTTTAAGCACAACTTAAAGACAGATAATAAGGCTACAAAATAACGAAAGGCACATTTTGAAAAACAATAAAATTAAAGAAATACGAGACTTTGAAAATTTGAACGAAAACTTACTTTTGACGTTTTTTCTGCACGTCACACCGGAATCAGACCTAACCTTTCCTGTCAGGCTCGGACACACTATGGAGGAGGAAGGGGGAACAGTGCCGACTAAAAATATGTTTGAACCATGTCTATCCGATAATTTGTTTAAAAGTTATAAGCTTTGTTACTTTCCTCCTCTGTTACTTTCCTCCTCGGTCTCCCCTATTATTTGACTTTTCAATGAAATTCAATATTTTTAGAAAAAAGTGTTTGTTCGTTTGACTCGCTTTAGACTGTGTGGCTGAGCGTACGTCATTTTATTATATCAAAATATTCAGTTATTCTCGAAATCGTACATAACAGACCACATTTGAAAGACATAGAAAACGTACATATAATACTAAAAAATTTGAGCATTTATAAAAAAATACGAAACTTTTTTTTATAAAGAATGAAAAAAAATATATTTGGGTCATTTCATTTAAATTGTCATTTTTTTCAGTTTTATAAAACTCGAACCTATATCATAAATTCCACTATAAGCTCAGACTAGATAAAAAAAATTTAAACTAAGCAAAACACAGAGAAGAGTGAGTTAAAATGAAAAACTGACATTTACATTTCGCTAAGAAACTAAGATTTTGCTATAAATATTATATTATATTATACTTTTTTCTAACGGGAAGGTTAAAAAAAATTGTTTTATGCATACTTACTTATACTTACTTACTTACTCACAATGAGTTCTGGGTAGATTATCAATAGTTCTAGAGTTCTATAAGTTTTAATTCAATAGTTCCGTAGATTTAGACCAGAAAACATGATATGTTGCTAACTTCACCCAGCACTATAATTTTCGCAAAAAAGAGTTCTGACATATTATTCCGATAGAAAATACAGAGTTCTCTTATAAAACAAAAAATAGTTCCGCAAAATTTAAAAATTTATTTAAAAATTTTAAGTTTTAGTCGATTTGACCAAAGTTTTGGCATCTTTATCAATAGTGCAACAAATTATTCTTATGAAATTCTACTCTTAAGGGTATGTGGGAACCTCCCACGTGACCTAGTATGGAAAAATGTGTTTTGGTAGTATACGGAAAAAAATAGTTCGTGAAACTTTCGTAAACTAGTTGTTCACATTTGGACGAGCACAGAGTTTGGAAATCTTTCATTAACTTTTTTCAAGATTCCACAAACTTTTTTTTGTGCGCGTGCGCAGACATTGATCGTCATGAAGAGAGTGATGAACGTTCGTGAAATCTTGGAAAAAGTTAATGAAAGATTTCCAAACTTTGGGACCGTCCAAAAGTGAAAAACTAGTTTACACTCAGAAAAAATTCGTTTGAAGCAACCAAATTTTGGTTAAATCAACAAAATAAATGCATTGATATACAGTTAACCAAACATTTGGTTGCATAAAACAAACGTTTATTTAGCTCAATCAAATATTTTCTTTGTTCAAAAAATTTATTAAAATAAACCAAACAGTTATTTAGATCAAATATATATTTATTTGAATTAAACAAATTTTGTTTGAACTAACTAAAAAATTGGGTAAATATAAAAAGATGGTACATTTGGTTCAAACAATAATAATATTAAGACATTTCAATTTTTTGATATAACGCTTAATTGGTAATTGTTATAATTTAAAAAATACTTTTTTAAATACTTTTTCTATTGCATTATATTCTGCAAAAGAATACAATTTTTTGGTCTCTTTTAGTTCTTTGGGCGATTGAATTTAAAAACTAATGTCACTTTGAAAAACTTTTCATATCACGTCGCCACGTAGAGTAGAGTCTCATTACTCGCAGGACGTGAAAACATCATCTTCCCATTACTTCTAAATAATATTATTAGTTATTTTAATAATATTAATAATTAAATTGTTTAAAATTATGAACGATTAATAAAGAATTAATAAGTATGTAGATATACCGTAGAAGTTAGTTAATAAGTAAAATAATACTGTTTCAGAAAAATTGTTTGTAAAGTATACGTTTATTTGTTTTTGCAGATAACATAATTTTAAACAATAATAGTTTTTAATATTTGAACATTTAACAATATTTTAACGTTGTAGCTACACTTTTATTTACTAACATGATTTATATTACAATGAAAAGTTATAGTACATCACTTTTATTGTATTTTTAATTATTTTGTATTTTTATAATAATTATTACTAAAAAATTTGTTATTTCATTGTAATAAAAATTAAAAATATTTAATAATATAATATATTTAATAAAAATTTAGATACAATAGATATACATATTTAAAAATTTTTTTAATTATTTTTAATAATGTTGTTAATTAATTTTTTATTAATTGTTCATAATTTTAAAGAATTTAATTAATAATATTATGAAAATAACTAATAATATTGTTTAGAAGTAATGGGAAGATGATGTTTTCACGCCCTGCGAGTAATAAGACTCTACTCTACGTGGCGACGTGATATCCGGCTGGACGCGTTTCCTTAAAACTTGATTATTTTTTAAACTATTTAATAAATCGCTTTGGAAATTTACAAAAAACTTTATTACACATTGATAAACAAATGTCTCACTGGAAGTTCTTGAAACTCGGAACTTCCCCGCAGACTTTTTGTCGGCAAAGGTAAGAAAACATGATTATCGATAGGTCCTTAAATAACAATTAAAAATTTTTAAACAAATGATAATTACGAACATTGTTATTATGTTATCCTTTTCTCTATACTTCAATGTGTTAGGATATCAATTCTCAAGTAATTTCATTAATAATTTTTGAAGATATGACCATTTATGTTTTAAAATTGAATGAAATTGAAGAATTAAAATTTGTCAGTTTTCTGTTATTATTAACTAAAATATTCGTTCTACAAAAAAATTTCAAAGGAAAAAAAGATGCGCCTTAATATTTTATACAAGGTAGTAATTTTTAAAAATCAAAATTTTGAAATTTTTTTTTCCTATTTCTATGCCTAAAACTGGAATGAAATTGTCCATTCCGAACGAAAAGCGAGTTCTTCTTCCGAGCAGCTCAATTGTAAGACACGCATAAATACAAAATTTTGCATTAAAAGTAAAATATTGTAGTGAGGGACAGGTAATTTTTATATTATTTTAAATAAAGTTATCTGCAGTTGATTTTCCTTATATATGGAAGTTATAGTTCACTATAAAATTTTGTTTCGCTTGTGATGTATTAAAATTACGACAATATGTTCATTCGAAAACTAAAAATTCATCCTTGGACATTAGGACACTCATAATATTTTGTCTGAATTTCGTTCTGTCATATAACATCATCTTTATATGCTTCCAAGTTGAAAAATATTAAGATATTGCATTTTACTAAAAAAAATAAATTTTACCAAAAATTATAACAAAAAGTTTTTATTGGTAAAGGACACGATTATGACAATTTAAATGAAATGACTTATTTACCGAATTTAAATGTCATAGGTAAATTTCACGTGGAATCGCCCATATATAACATGGCTAGATAAAACAGAAATGACTGCACCTACTTACTAATCGTTTCTATCAGCGGAGAAAAACGTGATGGAATGTAATAATTATGACAGTACAATTGTCTCATTGGATGGCTCAAAGAATGAATAATTTCGTAACATATGTACTGCGTCGTTTAAAAACTATATATAAAATTTTGAACATTTTTATTTTTAGCACGTTTAATAAGTAGAAAATCCTTATGATTCTAGTTGTTTATAATTTCGAGACGCAAGCATATTGGTCCATAAATTACTATCAGGGCAAATTTTCATCGTTTCGGAATTTATCAGTTTTGAACTGAGATTTACTCGAATATTATTAATTTCAATTATTTTATAGACGAATTTTTAATAATGAGAATTATCATTTGTAGGATTATTTAAATGAGTGAATTATAGTTTTAAAGGATTGCAAATTCTGTGAGGTACCCCTATTGAAAAACTCCCCATCATGTTACGTTTTCGAAAAAACAGGGATTGAAACCCCTAAAAATAGCGTTTTTTATCATTTTTTAAAAATTGTACAGCTAAACCCTGACGTGATACGAACTTCGCTGACATCAGAAATTAAAGGCTGAATCGTGCTCTTTAAAATGGGCCCTATGCCAAACTGTTTGCATGTACCCTTAGAGCAGGGGGTGTGTTTATATCTAGGGATGCAAGAAAAAAATGTAAACAGAACATAAAAGTTTACAATTCAGTACATTTCAATAAAACATATGGTACCGCCATTTTTAGGGTTTCGTGGCCCATGGCCGAAAGCCTTATAGTTTCAC